AACTAAATACATAAGAGACCTGTCGAGGTTGCTGTAGCGAAGGCAAGAATTTGAAGATGGACGCCTTGTATGAAAAACCAGATTGACAAGGAGGGGAGAACTCCGTCTTCCGACTGGCGAAGAGGGCGTCACCAAGCTACTCAGGAAATCGGGTCAGTAAAGTCCGTTAAGAGAAGTCCTGAGGGCGCTTGGTGAGGACAGGCTCATGTGAAAGGAATACTTCAGCAGGATCCTAAACGAAGAATTCGCCCATAAGTACAGCCCCAATTAGTAGCAACGACTGGCCCCATCGGAGTGTGGACAGAAATTGAGATGCGTGGAGCGATAGGGAAGATGAAGGTCGGGAAGGCAACTGATCCGAGTGGCCAATCAAGGCATGAAAGACGCTCAGAGAACACGGGACTAAGTGGATCACCCGATTCAGTGGACGCTGTGACCACTGAAGGAAGAATACTAGATTCATGGAGGGGCAGCACCCTCGCTCTCATAAGCAAGCAGAGGGTACGCGATGGAGTATTTCAACCACCGTGGGATCAGGTTGACTGCACACACGATGAGATTGTGCAAGGGACGTACTGACTGATGAATTAGGGAACTGTTTCTGATCTCACAGGAGCAGTTCGGCTTCTGCCTGAAGGGTCTACAATGGATGGAATCTTCATAGCTAGACAAGTAATGTAGAAGTATCGAGAAAAGCGCAGACCTGTTTACCTAGCCCTCCTCGATCTGGGAAAGGCAACCGACGATCTCCCACGACAAAGTTTCAGAAGAGCGTTAGGAAAACATAACGTTCCGGAACACATGATCTCCTTGGCAAAGATATGTATGTGCGATGGCTCTATGACAACAACACCCACGTATCCACATGTCCAGGAGCAATAGATGTCACTGTTGGGGTACACAGAGATCAGCCCTGAATCTGATCCTTTTCCTGCTTACAATGAACATGGTCTCAAAAAAACTCATTGACGGACCACTGAAATCATCTACGCTGATGACATCGCTCTGGTAGCGGAGAGCGAAACTCCAGGACAAGCTGCTGAAATTTTGGAAAGTGCTGGCGGAGAATGGACTCCAGCTGAATGTGAAGAAGAATAAGCTCCTCAGCTCCAAGGAGTGTACAAAGTCAATCGTAGACGGTCCCAGGAGCCATGGGAAGGCTTAGGATGTTTGACACCTGAGGAGTGGTGTGGCCGCTAATGGAAGCGTGGGCCACGCTGTCACAGCCTGAACGAACATGACATGTATGAAATGGAAGGAGTCCTCCGGTATCCTTTGCGACCGCTTCAGGACGTTCAAAAAGGTGTATTGGACAGTGGTAAGGTTCTCGATGCTTTACGGCAGCGAGTGTTAGCCCGTAAGTAAGAAGCATGAAAGACAGCTCCACTCCACTGAAATGAGAATGTCAGATGGGCCTGTGGTTGGACGCCGCTAGATCGGATCAGAAATAATGACATCAGGGGCGGCTATGAAAACATATACTGCGCAGACCACAGAATCATCTGATAAGGGAGACAACGGATTCGAAGCTCTAGGTAACCTTTTACGAGGAACACAGAAAAGGTATAGCGATTCGTGATAAAAAAGAACGTCGCTTGAAGGCATAGTTCACGATAAAATGGTCTCTGAGGTTCCCTTATAGGATGAATTCGCACCCCTCCTGATACCATGTGGCGAATTCAGGCCGAGGAAGGTCCTGGATAGTGCACAAAGAGCCAGAAATTGTGTTATGTGAATGCCACCCCCACAGCAGGCGAATTTCAACGGTGTTGTAGAGGCTGCACACTTGCACGCGAACCCATTTGGGAAGTTAAAACAACTAGCCGTGACCCATGGCGACAGTGGAATGTAGTTTTGGACAACATTGGCTTGATGTAGTCAGCTCTTTGCATAATTGCAACAATTGGAAACTCGTCCGAATAACCCTTCCGTCCCATTCCCGCCATGGTGATCTCGTTCAACCTCTATTACCATTACTTTGAATTTTTCGCGAAGTAGGCGGATTTTCTCGCTTTCTTCGCCACCGATGTACTGCTCTACATCAACGCTTCCACTTTTTTTACTGCATAAGGGCACATCAAAATTATCGTGAACTGTGCCTTTAAGCTAGAGTACGGTAAAGGTAAAAAATGCCGTAGAAAGAAAGAGTGGAGATTGCTGCTAAGAACAGTGGATCCTGGTATTAACGGCGACGACGTGGTATTAACGCTCGCGAGAAGATGGTGAAGAACGTGACTTCTGTCTAAATCTCGCTCAAAACGACCGAAACTTCTTTGTTTCTTTTTTTGCGATGCGATGCGATTTTCCAGAGCTAGATGATATATCCCATGATACACCCCTAAAAAGGGATCACCTTTGAGTTGATAGAGAATGTCTTCCAATGCGATATTTCAAAAAAAAAACACTTGGTTTGACTACAATAATACGACGCAGTGTATGTGTCGCAGTCGAGTAGCTAGAGCTTGAGCTGAGGTGAAAGGGCGACCAGACAAGGAGTGTTTCTTTTGGTACAAAATTATGACATCAAAGCATGGTTCCCCTTTTTTCCTTCCGAAGTTGTTTCGACTCAAGATCCTTTTTATCAGAGAACACTGTGAAAAGAAAGGCCCCTGGCTTGGGAAAAGAATAGGAACAGCCGTCATCGACCATTTAGCGGAGAGCTTTTAGCTCATGTGCTCTGTAAGACTGGACGTAATCTTGTATACATTATCATTTGGGTGTTGGGCATTTTGAAGGCATAGTTCACGATAAAAATGAGTGAGTGTAGGCTCACGTCTGCACTTAGAGGGAGTGCGAGTTCGATCCCTGCCGAGGCAACTCCATGCCTTGCAAAAATTGCAACAATGGTATCGGGTAACGGAACTTCTCCCCTATCGCGGCATTCTCCC